CTCGGCACTTAAGTTTATTTATTTGGCGGTATTCGCTTTTCCAAGATATCCAATTTGTGGCTTAAAAGGAAATGTACAGGAAAGTCGCAGGTGGTCTTGTATCTGTTTATTTATGGAAGTATTTTTGACCTGAGTTATCTGATGTTTGACGGCCTAGCGCCAGCACAGTTGCTTGATTGCGGGTCTCTAATTTACAGGTATCTCCCATACGCATTCATTTGTAAGTGCGCATGCTTTATAAGTGGATCTGAACTCTTGCACGGACGAAATGCTGTCAATACCTTTCCCCGCAGTTTTCAGGCAATCTCTTGAGACGCGTGTTTACTTTGAAGTGACTGAGTGGTTTGTAATAAAAATCGCTCGATTGCGCATCGCGTTTTCATCTGAAATACACGTCTCGACATGCAACGTTTAATTCACAAAGCAGAGATATGTTGTTTTCAGCATTAGCTGCACCCTTAGTTGCACTTTGGAACTCTTTTGCCACGGTATTGCTTTTGCCTCTTTTCCCTGGAATGTGGTTTACAGCAGCGCGGTCGTAAAATAAATTTCTCCTAGCTTTTTCTGACAAGGCCTGGCTGTGAATCGGCTTTCTGCTACACAATTAGCCGTAGATTTTTGCGTTCGCTGCTATTTGCGGCACACAAAGTCGGGGTAAGGCGAATCACCAAGGTGTCGCTGCAACAAAAGGAAAATCAAAAATGCGTGTTTGGGTAATGATTGCAACTCAAATTCCTAATCTACATTTTAATTACAGCGTTCGAGTGATTTCTAACTGAGTCGCTTAACAAAAATGCTTTGCAAGAGCAAATTACCTGTGATATTTTATGGCTTCACATCTGGTAGCATTCCAAAAAGGGTTTCCTGATGCGAACCATTTGGTCATGCATTTGTTAGTTGATGCAAGATCCAAATGCATCTACACATGTTGACCTCCCCGCATGAGGAAATAGCCTTCTCACGCCAAAGAATGTTATTCTTAATCTTCATTTATGCTTCCTCTTGTGTCAGTATCACAAGATCACAGAATACTTTGTGCCCAAATTATTCTTTTGCCTGTTCGAATTGCTCTAAAATGAAGACCAAACTGCCAAATACTTCTTGTAAGGCTAGATCTAGGTGATAGCTTAACTTCAAGTGACTGCCAGTGCCTCTACTCTAGCTCTATGGGACGTGGAAAAATTTATGTTAGGTAGTAATCTGATTTTGTTAAAGTCCCGTTGATGCTCGCATAACTTGCCTGCGCACATCCTGTCACTGCCTTGTGGACTTGAGATTGGGGCAAGCAGAGTCGTGGCTTCTTTAATTCGCATTTGTTTTCGAAACGGCACAACAACTGTTAGGCGCTAGCAGAGTTGGTCACATGCCACCTGGCTTTTTGCTTGGAACCATGGCATTCACACTTGACTCTCACTAGAGTGTAACATGCGGCCAATTAGGCGTTAAAAGGCTTTGTGTAAGTTTTAGAAGTAGATTACAGTGAAGTTGTGGTTTATCAACTAATCTTCACCCCAAGTGCCGGAGTCTTGAAAAATTCTTTTTAACTGTTGCGATACTTTAAACAACCCAGTATAGATTAAGAGAGACATCATTTGATTTTCCAAAATCACTCAATTTTGTTTCCAGTGAGTGCGTGTGGAGCTAAGTTTGATTGTTTTTTAACTATTAATTACACGAACGTGAACAATCGTGGCCACCTGTGGCCAACACAGTGGAAATTCCATATTTGATTATGTTACCTTACTTCTTCTTGGCATTATATTCAATCGCCACCATTATTGCAACAGGAGAATGTCTTCGAGGTATAATCGATATTGGCAGAGCGAGTTTCGATAGCGACTTTGAATTTCCCTTGTAGTTATTTGCATTCCAAATTAATCCTAGCACAGTGCTTAAGCAGGTTAGATCTGGCTCTACCACCGGTTTATTTTTTTCTCAAAAATAATTTGGGCTATTTGCTGCAGGATGCTCAATATCCCCTTTTAGCTATTGTACTCTTGTTTCAGCCTAATACAGCGTTTAATGAAAATACCACAACCTTTTCTAGATTCTGCTGTTCCTTTGAGAACGGCGTTCTATCGTCCGAATTGTCATTATTTTTTTCTTTGTATATTGAAAGGAATTATCTTTTGGTTACTCCACAAACACCTCAGAGATGCTTAACTCTCTTTGCTTGCTGAGTTCACATTTGTGTTCAATTTAAAGAAAGGTATTAAATTGGGTTAGCAATTTTAGGCAGAAAGGCTTAAAACTGAAATGATCATATTGACTTCATCCGAAATAAAAGACGAATATAAATAATGCAAATGTTACCAATTCCTTGTATTTTTCGACAATTCATTGGCTTTTCAACTCATTGGCAGATTTTGAGTGTGGTCAAAGCCATTTCTTGGACAACTTACTTTTTTAAATTTCAATGTATTATAAATTCGTTTCTATTTGAAACACAATCTCGCACACATGCTTGAAATTCATTTCTCAAGTTAAATGCACCAATATTTTACCAAATTATCTATTGTGTAGTCAACTTCACTTGCAAAGTCACGGGTATGCAGTCATTTTATTAAACGTAGTCATGAAACTGTGCTACCTTAGACGAAATGCCACCTACCATGGTATCTTTAAAACGACAAAAAATGCAACAAAAATGAAGTGCAAATTTTGGCCTCCGTAAAGTAACAAACACGATCTCCATGATTTTAGGTCTTGTTCGGTGACTATGTATTAAAGATTGTGTCTATTTCAAGTACACTGATACTTCATGAAGAAATATAATAATATTTAATGGTACCATCTTCGTTTTTATCGTAATGCATTTTTATCGAAATTTTTGTCGCAAGATTGCAGTAAAATTTTACACAATTGAGTAATTAATTAATGTCTGTATCTTTGCATGATAAATTACGGCTGCGTTTAAACAAAACTAATCGGGTACCAGAGAACACTTTGGCTAGTGCCTTTAGTTGTTAAAATAGACGCCAATCCCTAGCGTCCAGCCTCAGAACTCGTCGCACTTAATTTTATTTCCCTCATGAACTTAAAATGCCGGCAGAGATATGTGTATAGTTTTTTTGTATAAAAATTTGTGGATTTGTGTTGTTTTTAATGAGTTTTACAACCCTTATTAAGTGTTAATGATTTCCAACACGAACCGTAAACAGTCGCAAAATTTGCCATTCTATTTGATAAACTTAGAAGCCGGCATGATGTAAATTTAGACATTTTTTGCAAAAAATGAGAAGTTTGGTTCAAAATGACATGAATTTTTATCGCGAACTCAGCATAAAATGCTGAACCTAAATGAATACTCACGGACAGCAATCGGCTACGCATTTAATTGTTCCTGCGTCCCAAGTTTATCGTCTCTACTGTCAGTACCTAACAATAATTAGGGTTTGAAAGCGTTTCTTTTAGTCTACAAGAATCCTACTATTGGGGTCTTTCAATCACAAAAAGCTGGTGACCTAATGCGCCTTCAATTAATATTTGGTTTCACTTAAAAGTGGCAATCTCCTGGCAGATGTATTTGAATTGTTCATAAACATCACCGATAAAATTGATGATAAAGTGTTCCTTATGCAACATTTCACTTGCACTTCAGGATTAATCGTTATCAATAAATATGAATCCAAGAAGTGCGGCTTTATACAAAAAACAATTGGACTTTTAACTCAGGCCCTCATGTTATGGTCTTTTCTGAGCTACATTTTGTGCCAATACTTTTCCAAAAGTGGATTGTGGCACATGCCAACACTGCAAAGGTATCGCTAGAATTTATCACAAAAACAGGTTGAACAACTTTGATTGTTTTAATTTCTCGCGTGTTCTAGATAAGTGGAAAAATCCATGCTAGACTGTACGCAGATCATTTGCGTTCAAACAGATTTTTACTCCAGAAGTCCATGAATCATTGCTTAATACGTGTTTCACTTCCTAGGCCAAATGTTTCTATCTGCATGTCAATCTACTGACACATCACCGAGCACATTACTTTAACGCTTAAGACAAGTCACTTTCACACCAACTTAGACCTCTAATGACTATCGACTACCTTCATCAGTGGGCTGAACACTCTGACAGTCATAGGTTCTAGCAAATGCAATAATAAACGGATGTTTTTACACCTATTTTAGGGGCTACGTGCCCAATTTTCACCCCAGCCAACTTTCAAGGCTAAGGCGTTCTATGGTTGATTTTTCCCGAAAATCCTACCCATTATAAACTTTTCAAAATTACCTTTTTTAACACAAAACGTCAGTTGAGGCTTTGTGTAAAAAAATGAAGTTCCACTTTAGCCTTAATAAGCTTGTCAAACCACTTTTCACATAAATACATTGCTGCTGTTTTGATATTCAAAGTGATCAAACCGATAACAGAAGTTGTTGATATCAGATCACAATGACTGATGATGTGTACATTTTTTGTCGACAATGGCTGCTTACCGCCATTGTATGAGGTGTGTATTGAGACGTCTTGGTCATATGTCTATTCTCAAAAAGGGTGAATCCTTGTGACCGTCGATTTTTTTGAGGTACAAATTGATTTTTTATTTCATGGGTGTGTATCTTGTAACATGATATTTTGCTTTGTTCATGATTTTTAACAATATTTCTGTTTTAGGAAATGTGTTCTCCGCTTTAATTACCAACTTTTATGTTGGAGTCTCATTACTTTAGCGGATTTTTGGAAAAATAATAGCACACTACAGAACATTTTTTGGACTTACTGCAAAATTAAGTGACTCCCTATGGCTCTCGTTGACTAAATTAACTGATCATGTTTATTTGGATAATGAAATCATGCAAGTTAAAGTTGAATCCAAAAGAGAAATGAGCGTTCGAAGCAATTTTTGCCACATCACTAATTACCGACTCCTCCCACCTGAAGCCAAGAATTACGTGACTTTGTTTTTGCGGATAAAGACGAAAAATTATTATAACCGAATTCCTTAGTTTTAGTTGTCTAACGCGACTTTTTTTTCTATTAGCATTCGCAGCGTCATGATGAAGTACATGGAAAAACATGGTGAGCTGACCTTTGACAAAATCTTCAATCAACGGCTGGGCTATCTGCTGTTCAAGGACTACTGTCTAAACTACCACGAGGAACCGGTCCCACAGATTAGCTTCTACGAGGAAATCAAGAAGCTGGAGGGTCTTGAGACTGATGAAGAGAGGATAGCCCTTGGTAAAGAGATCTACGATCAGTACATCATGAAGGATCTACTCTCCCAATCCCACGTAAGCGAATTGGATCGAAAAAAATAAGAGTTCCACACAAATAACACACTTTAAACATCTTTTCCTATCTGTAATTTGGAACATTGTGCGTAGTTGCTTTTAAACCAGCGTCCTTCTCTTTCCGATCAAGTCATGTTCACAAAAAAAACAGCTCATTCTTGGACTTAGGAATGCAGCATTACAGATGCGCTTGTGTTACAACTACAACCAGCAGTGTGCAAATCGTCACCTGCTTAATTTTGCAGCAAATCACGTGATGAGTGCCCAGACGCAAAAGACTGCTAATAGTTAACGGAACAGACCTCAGTGCTAAATTTGGTGTTAAGGAGAAAGTACGTTTACCCTAGCATCGTACTTCGTAAGCGGATTTTCTTAATCGTGTCATGCATTTTTTCTAAATGTCTGCTTTTACCAGCACTTTAGTTGCTGTAGTTGTTGTTGTTGATGGTCAAGCGAACGAGAAATGCTACTTTCGTGAAAGCGTAAAAATGTTGAGAAGTGAATATTCACGCGAGCTGATAGTCACACTAATTGACATTTTAATAGCGGACAAATTTAACAGGGGGTTGAATGACTTATTACATTTCTGAGCAGTACACGTGGCCAATTCAGAACTTTCAATACAATTAAAAATAAAGACTTGCTTGAGTGAGGAAAAGAGTCTCCTGTACGGATAAAGTCCTGCTTGTTAAAATACTTCCCTTTGTAGTTTATACCGTTTTGTTGGCATTTGCAAACTTTAATAATTAACCTGTCTCTCAGCTGATAAGTGGCGATTGCACGTTTCTGGAACTGAAATTCGTCCAAACAACCGCTGCATTTTCTGTCGTCTGGTACCGTTGCTAGTCCATGTGGGTCGTGGGAAAATTAAACTTGTTGATTTTGCCCAAATGCACTATTTTTGCACCTTGAAATAGACTTGTGTGCGTCCACCTTCATCCTGGTAATGAAAAGCTAATGCCGGCGTGCCATTCAGTTTTGACATAAGCTAAACGCAGTCTGCTGAAAATGGCAAGTGACTGTCAAATACGGCCACCTCTAAAGATGTGATCTGATGCGAATTCCACAGAAATCAAGGAATTAGTTGTCATTCAAAGGGTAACCAATCGGTGGGGCGTTTTCTTGTCAAATGGTAAACCCAAAGGTGTCAACACCTATCGAGCTGTTTTAAAACCGTTGAATTACAGGACTGCTCTTAGTACCCCAGAGAGTAGCGGGAAAACACACATTAACATGCTGTACAGATGTGTGTTGTAGGGTTAAGTGTACAAGTGATTCAGACACGTGTGGAATGGGAGGGGAGCAGGAGCCAACCACAAATAAGTATTTAGGAAGCCACAGACCTGGGTGTGTCATGCGTACAACATAAATTTGCGCTGAAGCTGAGTAATGCTGGCTGTCAAGAGCTCGCTTCCCCAATGGTAGTGCGATGAAACGCAGTTACTGGACGATTTTTTGGCCGAGGTGTTGACCTTTTTGCTTGACCTTATTTCAGCCTGAGGGCATTAAATATTGGTGGCGTGCTCTCTTCTGTTGCGCTATTAGGATTACTTTGATAGGCCAACCGTAGGTTGGTTGAGTTGATCAATTTTACGGAAAACGCACACAAGGAACAAGAGTGGAGACGGTAGAACCTCGTCGAAGATTGAAAAGGGGTCGTTGACGGTCTCCGCCTGACGGTAGTTCACAGGAGACGCACTTTAATTCCAGTTTATGGTGGACCGACTTTCTGGAGTCGTGGTTGCATAGGGTCGCAGATTCAAGGTCACAGCGCTGTTCACCAATCAGGGTGTCCAATCATGATCCCAGGTGTGGTGATTCTAACTACTCAGATAGCTTAACTAGCTCATGGAGGTTGGTCTAATGTAGTCCGCATTGGGATCGCCAACATAGTGTTAGGATAGCTTTCTTGCAGACCCTTAGAATGGTGAAAATCTGAAGACGACGATTTGACGGGGAGGGCAAATCCATTCATTGTTTCACCAGTTCGAAATGTTAAGTTAAAGTTTACCATCAAAAGGTCACTTTAAATTAAGAATCAAAGCTTACATTGACTAATTATTGTGATCAGAGGGTCGCTAAAAGTTGAACGGTTGGCTGTTTAAATTTGGGCATGCTTTAGATGTCTTTAGAAGGGAAATAAATTTTGCGAATATAGCATCTTTATTCAGTCGTATTCTGTAGTTAATACAACAAAGTTGACTGTTAACAGGAAATAGGTCAAGAGTTACCACTCCTAAGATGGATTTCAAGCAGATTATAACCGTATGCGATGTGTAAACTCATGGCCCTTTATTTCATGGAGATGACGCCATTGCAGCCTTAAGGGAACCATTAAAACACAACTGGTTTTATTATGATTGATTGCCTGTTAAATATCAACCAATATCTTACTAGGAATTTTCTGAAGAATCCGTCTCCCGAGTTCTAGAACTTCTTACTAACGCGCAACGAACAAGAACGCTTCCTCCAGACGCTTTCTCGGTAAGTTCGTGTCTAGTATGAAACTTTGATGTCGACATTCATTACACCTCCTGTGTTGAATTTCTACAGCTAGTCTAAATCAGTCAATGTCTCATTTCATCTCATTAATCGGCTGTCGTGACTGTTTTTTTTCAGCCCTACATTCAAGAAATTTGTGATTCCGTACGTGGAGACATCTTTGATGCGTTTGTTCGGTCGCCCAGATTCACCCGCTTCTGCCAATGGAAAAACCTCGAATTAAATCTAAACGTAAGTTAACCTTATATGTATCCCTAATTATACACCAGAAATCTGCCGTAAGATGTCTAGCTTTCCAACCTGTATGCCAGTTGGAAAATCGAATGCTGAATTTTAGCCAGTCACGGTCCACGGAAATAGTGATGCAGTTACAACGACGATCCAAATGAAACCGCTCTTGAGCCGATCAGCTTGCTGTAAATTGTATTTCTTTCCATTCGAAACCAGTACTTTGTTCAGACTCCAAATTTAATGGCCGACTAAATTTGGAAGACGATGAATTATCTATAACATGATGGATTCCTGTTTTAAGTGGTACAGAACACTTGTTTCAAAATGAGATAGACTTCCTGTGACCTGTCAAAACAAAGCATCATGATTGTTGCTGCAGAAACATTTCATCAAATGTATCAATGTATTGCGGAGACAAAAACGGATGATGAAGATTTTCTGCGTCTGAAAGTCTATTAAATCTAAAATAAGCAAATACTTGGTTGACAATTGGCCTTCCTTAAATGCATTGCGTCTTCGTGGCTCAGGCTGCTTCTTCAGCATCTGATTTTACACAGATTGGGATGCAATGCATTTTAATGGCCTAAGCTGACGTCATCAATAACATGGCCGAAACCCGTTTTCGAAACTATTTCGAGAGAGGCGGTTAAGTGGAAGAGCGGGTCGTTATTAATCAAGGTAGCTTCGATGCAGCACTAATTACCAAGGCCATTGTAATTTCTGTACATTGACTATTTCAGTCTCTTATTGCCACAACGTTTTTGAATTTTCTTACCACTGTTTGAAACTGAAATGTCGTTTACAATGTCAAGTAATCAGGACTTTGCTATACCTTGATCACCTCTTAAAAAGATAACTAGTACTCTGATAAGGCTCAATTTATTTCCTTTATTTCTGTGATATTTGGCTAAAATTGAAAAGCAATCTTCAGGCTGTAGAATGTTAAAACATGATCAGTGTTTATCTCCATAAAAATTGGCGAAATAATTTGCATCACGGATAATCAAAATCGACTTACTTCAGCTTTCGAAAACAATAACATCGAACTCGGAAAATTTGTCGAGAGTGTTATAAACAGTCTTTTTCTTGTAATATGAATATCTAATATTTCAGCAACTTGATATCACGCAAGAAAACCGTCGAATGAGTAGTAAATAGATGCACAATTTGCTAAACACTAAATTATCTCCAGATAGGCCTTTTTATTTTTGTGTTAAAAGTAAGGCAGTAATCGCGGCCGCTTGTTAAGAAGTAAAATAGAGATTTTGTTTATTGAGCCGTTGTGGTTGGTGTTTACCTACATAATCAAATATAAACGGTTATTTTCGTTGATGGAAGACGAACGCTGACACCTCCTGCCTTATCAACAAACACCAATCGCTGGCGAACTAAAATACGCCTGACGAACCACTTAAAATGCTAAAAATGTGATTTTATGTCTTTTTTAAACGCAAACACTCGTTGCGGCATTTTTGCATTTATTGCGCGCATATTGGCGACGTTTGGACTGACTTTCGCTTATTCCCACTAACCAAGTGTCCCTTTCTGGTTTAGATGCAATTTTATTCATCAGACTACACATTTGGTTTGAATTTTCCGCTTTCAAGTCACGGGTTAAACTGTGACAAGCAGTAGTGTCACAACTGATTATTCAAGAATTGTGTTGACAACCATACAGCAACATAAAGCATTTGCGCGTGTACAATTCTTAGATGAAACCGCATAGATGTGCAGCTATCTATGTAGGTTTCCCAAAAAAAATGCTTGAATTCAGCACCTTTCTTTCCATGCTTTCCTTAGTAAAATAATTTTGCCTTCTTTTCAAAGCTCACGGCCAATGACTTCAGCGTCCATCGTATTATCGGACGCGGAGGGTTTGGGGAGGTCTATGGGTGTCGAAAGGCAGACACCGGGAAAATGTGAGTGCCTTTTACGCAGTTTAATTTTACTTGGTATACCAAAACATTTGTTTTTAAACTTTTGTGATCACAAGAACTAACAAATTCAATTACATTATCCTTATTTAATTGAATAATCGTCGTAATGTCACGTGTGTAAGTGTTGTCAAAGGTCCCACTTAGCATATCGCCAGCTTTATTCTAATTGTCCTCTTTGTTTTCCTGTTTCTCGCAGCACTTTCAGTCAAAACAGAACCATTTATGTCCAATTCAAATCAAACTTTAATCATAAGTTCTAGCGTTGTTTTCAACCTCGCCAAACGTTCAAAACATCCTCGACAATATATAGAATGATTATTAGATATTCCCAAATGAGCTTTGTTCTGAATTCAAGTGACAGTCTGTATTTTTCTCCCGAATTCTCGGATTACTTCAAAATCTGGGCGATGGTGGGCCTACATTGTGGAAAAACAACTAAATTTCCACTTTTTTTTCATGTTAAATCAAAATGCACACCTAATTCAATCGATTGTCGTCATAAATGAGATTGAAATTCGGGCTTCATTACCCTATCAGTTGACCGAATAGCTGAAAATCGCCAGATTTTTAATTTTTGTCAGCGACTACTTCATTCCTATAATGGGACACTTCAATGCAGAGAGGTTTATATTTAGTCATATGATGAATGTCATAATTAAGTTTGTCTGATTCCTATTGGTAGAATTTTTTAATTATTCTGCGGTATCACATCAAAATATTTTTTAGCTTATTCTGAGCGGTAACTGTTATAATAACTTCAGTTGCTCTTAACTCCTAGTTGGACGTCCAAATGCTTATTAATCAGACTAGAAGAAGGCAACTTCACAAGGTGGTTTGCCTTGAACTGCCGTCTTTTCAGTTAACAGTTTGTTTTACATTATGCGAATTTGCAGCAAACATTATGTCTGAGTTATTTTGAGAAGGTTTATCTAGTGGTCGTTTTGCAGAACTTTAGTGGCAATAAAGTGTTCAGGCTAGGTGAGGTAAACTGGTATCTGCAATCAACCTGCTGATGTTGGTATGGATGAATTTCGCCAGCTGATTGTACGTACTAATCGATTAGGAGTCAATTAAGGAGAATCCCGATACAAATCAATAACACATGTCAAAGTAAACAGTAATTGAGATGTGATTACACAGTAAAGAAAAACATTCAATTAGGCAATTTTTCAAGGTCACCCTTTTACATTCAAAAATCAACACTCTTTTAACTATCGGTCCTAGAAGGTACAAAGTAGAATGCCTTGATTTTGCAGATAAGAATTAATCATGTTACCCTTCACAATTCTGCCTGTCGATTATTCCCGCATTAATTAACTGCCCCTGAAATTGTTCTTAGGACAAACTATCTCTGGGTCTTTTGACTTCACTAAGCTAACAACACAGCCATTTGATGCAAACTAACCATGCCCAGAGGCATTTCATCTGTCCAACCAAAGCGAAAATACGTGCCTTTTGTCCACAAAAAACCACCCACGTCAGACAGGCAAATATCCATCACTCTGTTTGAAGAAACACATATCAGCGTATCTACTCTGGCAGTTCAGATGCATGTAACTTGCGTGGATGTTTCTTTCAGACCGCAACTATCACTGTCCTAAAACTTGTTCCTGCTTGTTCACGTTTTCGATCCGCTGCTTAAAATTCACTGCAAATCAAATCACAAGACCCATACTGTGCTGCTGAAAACAAGGCTTCCGATAACCGTTAATCAAGACTACAGCCTATTTTAGGTAAATCATTAAAATAAACCGTAATAGATTGCAAGCTGTTGCATCTGTTGGGTCACACTTGGGTTTGTGTTAGCAAATGTCGTTCAAACTGACATAGGCTATTCGTTTCCTGTTTGCCATCAGTTTCTAGGGTAATAACCGTGACAGATGAAGTTGACTGTTAGTTATTCTTATGGAGTTGAACTCTAATGGCTTTAAGGACGCAGAACCACAATTATAGAACTAGACTCCATTTTACTAGCTGATGGAATGATCCATAAAGCTATACATGTTTCAACTGTGAGAACCTGTTGCAAACCAGGCTCATCCTTTTGGCACGTCGTCTAATAAAGTTTTTTAATCTTTAAAATCGGCTTCCGTACTATGGTGGCGCATCTACTGAATTGATGAATAAGGCTAGATCTCATAGCAGGTGCTGCGCCTGTCTGAATGAAGGGAAAACCTTTACTGACTCCTTATCACCAGCACACTGTCTTTCTTCTTAAATTCCCTGTTTGGCGATCAACATTTAATTGAATGCCTTTGACTTTGGTTAAATCATGGAAGCAAGCGAGAAACATAGTGATATGTTCAGCTTGAAAGAAACCGCTTCATGTGCTTTCTGTTTTTTTTTTCAGGTATGCAATGAAATGCCTGGACAAAAAACGAATCAAAATGAAGGGTGGAGAGTCGTTAGCACTAAACGAGAGAGCAATGCTCTCCCTTGTCAGCACAGGGGTAAGCGTTGTTTTTAATATTTGTGGGACAAATAGTTCCGAAGTGCACTCTAACGCGAAGAAGTGCTGCCCCATCGATAAAAAATCCGTGAACATGTCTGTGTCAAACGAACTAACTCGACTATATCCCTGATCCAGACTCGGTATGACATGATCGATCGTACCATATCAAGTTATTATGTAATTTTAAAATCCACTAGTCTACCCTCGGCTGTAACGCTTGGTTTAGATGACTCTCCTTGAAGGCGTTCATTTGTTTAAAGGCACTTAACCTTCACCCAAATATTCGAAGCATCAATATAACAAAACAAATGGCTTTTAAGAAGTGAAAGCTAAAAATATTTTAATATGAATGTATACTGATGGAGTCACTTAAATATTCGCAAATATTATGACTTGTTACCCAGCAATGCATTCTGGTATTCTTTTAACTGACCAGGACCTTTCGGAGATGGGAGATAAGCAAACAGAGCTTAGAAGTTCAAAGGAACCTCCATGCGTTTAGTCAGATCTGTGAGCGCTTAGCATGTGCAAGGCGGCTTAAGGCATTAATAAAACACGGACGAGGACAGAGGTATTTGCGGCCAAGTTAGGAAATGCAAGAACCATTTAACACAGACCCTGCATTGCGGCTCATCTTTGAGCTCCAGATAAAATAATAAACGTTTCCTTCAATTGGTCTAATTCAGGTCAGGCAGTTTTAGCCGCCTAAATAAATTCCAATTGCAGATAGAATTCCATTTGTGTTCAATGGGGAATCACTTGAAGCTTTAGCATTAGAATTCTTTCGGCGTGTATGTGAGGGATTTTAACAGCAAGTGGTTTCCCGAAGTTTTATTCGTAATGGTGAGCATTCTGACCGATATTTTATAGGTTCCTTGTTAATAAGCGCAAACAGAAGAGCCTGGAAAGGCGAATGCACGCGCCTATTCTATCACTTTGTGATGTTGTGCTGTTTTTGTGTTATGTGAGAGGAGGAGGGAAACCTTTGAGCAAAGGGTGTCGGTTCAAATGTTTGTTCGATAAGAGAAACCAATCAGAACGAGTAGCTTGGTGTTGGGACATGCACGGCCACAACGTGTCATGCGTTTGGTGTGTGAACTATGTCATAAAATGTAAGCCTGCTGTTGAAAGCACTTTAACACGTTACCCGATCTCGTATAACAGCTGAATTTTTCACGCTCTACGCCAAACCGAGAGACTATTTTGAAAAAAATGAAGCAATTTGAATCCCATAATGGTGTGGTTTAGGCTTTTGTGTGAATACGTTGGTATTAACACCTTGGTACGCCATCGGTTTGCCTAGGATCGTGTATGATTTCAAATGCATTTGCGTATTTTAAAATAAAACCAGAAAACGATTTCTAATAATTAAGACCCAACCATGATGTATCAGTAATTATTTAATTTATAGCTTCGGGAAGGTTCATTTGACACATTCCTGACTTCTTTCGTTAAAGTCCGACATTCTAGTTGACAGCACCCGTCAGGCATACATTTTAGATGAGTAACATAACAATCACCGACTCAGTTATCGTAGTATCGCAAAAAAAACAACATTGGGATGGACTCGGGTGTCATGTCTCCGTCACTAAGATATGTGATTTGTGACATTCATGCCAATTCTTGTATAACTTAAATGTTCTTTCTTACTGCGCGTTCTTTTCAAGTACTCTGTAGGCCAGACAAATGCGCTGTGTTTAAATTACTGCGAAATGGCATATTAGCCAATATTTTATTAGGAAGACGATGTTGTCTGCGTTACTCTTGTTCCACCAATCACCACACGGCAGTATAGAGCGCCATGTCTAAGAATTTTGCAGAGTGAATAATGCACCAGCATTCATATAGGGATTTCAGTAGATTCCTTCGGCCATGTGATTTGATTAATGTAAGCCCTCTTTCTTCTTTCTCTTTCTTGATAGTTGGTAAAAAATCATTCTCTAGGCGACTTGCATTGAACGCTTTACACACTATTCCGAACTCAGTCGTGTCGCTGCAACCTCTGCCCATTAATGCCTCCTCTCATCTTGCATCATGGAAACTGCATTTACGACGAATGCAATCCATTTGGACAGTTATTGTATTACACTGGCTAGCACTTTTATGGCTTACACGTTGTTTCCGAAAGCCTCGCAAAGGTTAGACTCGGAGAGGTTTGTGGTGCGCGGTCTAACAGTTGACATGCACGAAGCAAAGTGGCCTGCCACAACTCACAGTTCACTGCTGAAGTAACAAATAAATGAGCAGTCCACTCTTGCGTCGATAACGCCATGTCGAATGTTCAACTTACATTCACTACGGATTTACGTCGTTTTGTAATAGTGTCTTTCTAACTAGCCGTTTTTAGTCACGTAGCTACTAGCAAAATACGAAGAGTTATGGAAAGGAAGAATATCCGTTCCCTGACCCGGTTCGCGTTGCTGTGTTTAGCTTTGACATGTGAGTGTGTCAGCCGTGGGTACCATGGGAGGATGACAAGTAGCTGCAAATTCTACGCAGACATAACCAGATGTTGACGTGAATGAGATAAACTAGTGTTGGTCGAAGGACACTGACTGGTTTTAGCTGGTTGATGGAGTTTATCACGTCTTTATTGCTTCATTTTTAAACTCTTGAGTGTGTGTGAAGAATACGAATAAAAAAAGACATAGGAGATTGTAGAGCGGATTCTACCCAGAATCAGGAATCCAAGCAGGTATGAGAAGTGATGTAGGAGATCTATCTATTTAAGACCAATCGTCTGTGGGGAAGAAGTTAAAAAGTAGCCTCAGCGTTCCAAAATGGTTTATTTCCTGATGTGGTTAACTCATAACACTTCGAAAATGATTAACTGTAATGTCCTCAAACTGAGGCTGTAGAAATGTCCCCGTTTTTGCTAAGGAGAGTCCATTGTCATCTCAGATAGAAAGGTTTCGTCTGATGGCTGGAGGATCTCAGTTGTTGCCGTTTTATTTATCTCGACGAATGTTTGTGATCATAACGCAAATCACCGGTAAGACCATACTGAAATTCAGGACCTTTGCTCTCTTTGTTGAACATCGTTGATGATTCTTCATGACGAGATCCAAATTTATTTTATTTGAAAAACTTTTAACAAACACATGGGATTTCAGGTCGCTGCATCATGCGATCGTTAGCGAAATATAAGGTGAAATGGCCACTTTCGTTCGCCAAAGTTCTAAGCAAAAAGAGCACATGGCAAATTAACAAGGACTTCGTTTAAGCTGATGATCGCGACAAGGCGGCGGAGCCACGCAAAATGACATTTCCTGGCCCAAGGTGCTCTGATTAACATAAATTAGGACCATTGCAGATGAAACTGCCTGCTCCAAACTGCACGGACAATGACATGTCCATGTGTCACCCAGCACCATCATCTCAACCTCATTAATAATGTCCCGTGGCCTTTTGTCGGCTTTGCGCCTTACAGAATGTCGTATGCATGGACAAGAGGAATAGGGCTTTGGATGTTGACCGTGTGACTACCTGAATGGCGATTTCTTAATTCAAATCGCAGTCCGTCGATAGTGGATCAAGAACCAAGATATGGCATATTTCAGCAATGTACATTGAGTTAGGATAAAAGTCTGTTGATTTTTTCAGGGATTTTCCAACTAGAAATTACACCAGAACAAAGAATAAAGCGATGACTTATACTACAACGTTGTCAGTCAAATCCCGGTGGTGTCAAGTAATTGAAATTCATTTGCTTATCAATTTTCCGCATGGTTTTACATCGACTTTATTTCAAGGGCATTTTGAGTCATTTCGACAGACTTAAGAAAGCACCTCAGTCAAGTTGGGTGGGCTGCTTTTAGACTTGTTGAACGATTTCCGTGTCACTCTGTCACGATGTCCGCTTCGTTGATCGTACAAATTTTTCCCGTTTGGAAGCATAACAGAAATTGCAGGTCTTTTTCCATGCATTATTGGATCAGTAAATAGATGTAAATTAACTTTTCGATGGAACCGGTCTATGGTGAATAGAACATTCCTTCCAAACCTGTACGAGAATGTTCAATTAAAAAACCAATGGGCTTATATCTCATGTAGTTTTGATGAACCGCTGAATGCTCCTTCAATGTTTTCACCTAGACAGCCTCTACATTTCCCGTTAAAGTTTATGAGTTGGGAGAGGTGCCACGTTGGTGTGTATAATACGCCTGACACCCGGAAGGAAAGAGGCAGTTGTAGCGCGTTACATCGCGCGAATTCCTTTTATGTTAAGAATTCTACCACTCCTGGCAACTCGCCAGCACACTCAAAGCCAGGCATTGGAGTATATTCCAGCGAGGATCAAGAAAAGAATCTAGTTTAAGCCCTCATTGAGCACATCGGCTAAGCACTCAAGCCTAAAATTAGATTTCTCGGTGAATTTTGGACCATGCTCTATATGCAATAGTTCCCATTGTTGATTATGTGCAAGACGGAAGTTAACCTAGAGTAATTCGGTATATTTAACGATTTGAAACGACTCAATCCTATGACACCGTCCATTGAAAGGGTAAGATACGTGTTTTTAAACTGCGTCCTTTATTGGTGGCTTGAGCTTATTTTGATGCTGTTTGGTCATTGATATAAACTTCGATGACAACAAGTACACACAGCCCACACCGTTGCTTCCTCTGAAGAGTCGTTTGAAATTTACTGGTGCTTCTATATTCCATCTAACTCTGGATGCTCCTAAAAAGAACTTCCTTAGCGTGTTAGCAAACTATTTACCGGCTTACGAAGGACTTGTCTAGTTTGCGACTCCATAAAAAGTGATCGTTAACAGCACGGTTTTGCCCGAGCAGCAGCAATAAAGCTAGAGGAGTCCAATTGTGTAAACGCACACATGGGAGAATACGAATCTGTGCAAATCGTCATTGTCTGCTTTGTCATTTACAAAGATATTTCGAGTGAACAGTAAGGCTCAACTTCAGGAGATGTTATCCTTTAACCAGATTAGAGTCTCTTCTTGGGGTCCTAAGAAAAACTAACATTACTGGAAAAAATGCTTGCGTTTTTCACGGAAATTACAGACTAGACTCCCTTCCCAGTCCTAGACATCACACTATTGGGTTCCATTAGAGTACCTGTGCCAATCACTTGTGCCCATTTGGTATGGCTCGTAAAAGCTAGGTAATAGTGGCGAATTGAAAAAAAAATGTTTCACTCAGCGAACTTAAAAGCTGCCTTTTGCCTGTGTGACTGGTTGCATTATGCTGGCTGATTTCAATGACTTTGGTTAGATAAAAGTCGGTGATGTGGAAAAGAACGCTCAGTGTCATAAATGCAAAATATGCGGCAAAATAGTAGGCCAGGTGTTTGGCCTCATTCAAGGACTCTTGTGTTAAGCGATGTAACTGGCCCTTCCGCGAGAAATACGCTTTTTTCTCTCAATGGAATCTTGTTTTTGAATGCTAGGAACACCTTAAATCACTTACATCTTCAAATTTCACAGAATTTGGGAGAAATTGATTTAAGCAATATTTCATAGTCTGTTCGATGGTACTTCCCTTGACTTACTATTCGTGGTGTTTCGACTACTCCTAAGTGAAAACTTGCGTTAGAATAATGACTTTTGGGGTAGAATTCCCCTTATGAAACAGAATTTGAGTGGATCTCATATTAGTTTACTCGTCTGTAAATAAACTTCTGGTCTGATTAAATCATTTAATCGACGACCAGTAAAGCATACGACAGAAGCATTGGGCGTGGCATTGTGAGACAGGACACGTAAATGCAATCACTTCAACTTTCAATATTCTTTTTGTTGGACAAAGGTTATGCTGCCATGCTATTCAGAGTGAGCCTTAAATTTTGGAATATCCACCCGTTGGCGATATTCACGTGCTGTCCCAGCTTATACGTGGGTTAATATGGACAGAGGGTGTGCAGTATGACAGGCAAGACCCAGGTTGTATTTCAGTACTAGTGTATCACGGAGATCAGAACTCTCTGTATTGCCTAGTTCTGCATCTGACGACGTAGTCCACTGTTTTGCGCTGCAGGAGGGCTGCCCCTTCATTGTCTGCATGACCTACGCTTTCCAGACCCCAGAGAAGCTCTGCTTCATCCTTGACCTTATGAATGGAGGTGATCTGCACTACCATTTGACGCAGCATAATGTCTTCAGTGAATCCGAGGTGCGATTCTATGCTGCCGAAGTCATTCTGGGACTGGAACACATGCACAACCGCTTCATTGTCTATCGTGACTTAAAGGTGAGTAAATTTGTTGTTCTGAGCATCGATATTAGCGTCGATCGGTTATTAAAAGGTGTCTTCGTGGGTCTAATCTGATCCCCTCGAAAAGAATTGCAGCCGAGAAATAGTTTTTTCCCGCTGCAATCATTTAAGTATCTACGCAAATAGCATCTTCCCTCTAAATGGTTACCTTAATCCTTTCAACTTCGGCATCATGTGGCTGAACTGGCCAACATAAGTACATGCTATGCATCCGCCGACCGCATTGCCGTCCTTGCCCGAAACAGCTTGCATCTACCTTCACCAGCATCCACGTTGCACTTTTTATCAACTGCTAAACCACTTGCAAGGCATGAAGCAAACGTGACGATTTCTTGCAAACGTGTTTTGCCTTCCTGGTGTCAAAAGCATGACATCGGTACCTAACTCTATGCGTGCAATTCACCAGTGTTCTACTCTGCGTAAAATAGTTTTTGAATGAAACAAAAATCACTGAGTTGCACATCTTATTCACTAGCTTGGCTTTATCATTTGATTTTAATATTTCAAACTTTGATCTTAATTTGAAAATGATGATGTCAGAAATTCATAAAATTTCGTAGGCATAATGACACGCGCACAATTACTATAACAATTTAATTAAAACAGCTGCTTCATTCATGGAACTGTGAAAAAAAAATGGTTTTAGCTGAGAATCGAACCAAAGTGTTCCAGTCAGTTGAATCGCAACCCTAAAAAACGAGTTGGATAATTAGGCTACCAATTTTGGCAGAGTTAATAAGAGTGCATTCACAATGGCGCTCTTATTTTTTCTTTACAAGTTGAACTGCGATGGTCACTTTTTTTCTCCTGATGACCTTGTGCTTGGTTAAAAAAGGAATAGAGTAATTTTCGGCTCCAGATCGGACAGGAAATTGGACGTCTTTAAAGGGGCACTTGTAGCTTCCTGTTGTTGATCTTACCAGCTTTGTGTCCAGTATCTGTTTGGGGTCATTCAATTCGGCATTTTGTTGTTGCTAATGGTGACGATGATTGGCACCAATGAGTCACTCCTGTCTCAATCACGCAAAACCAGGATTTCTTATAAGCTTCCTGGCAATCTCGATATAACAGCCTTTGCCCCGTGGCTCAAAGCTGCTTTCTCAGATTATGTGAGATAGGACCTTTGTAGGTTCTCCGATTTTATTCACGTGGTACTTTTGACGCGAGCATAAATTTTGCGAGTGCAATTTCCTGCAACGTTTTTCCCGCGCCCTTGAAAAGTCATGTTTCCGATGCCAAAGCATTTACCACACCTACGAAATATGGCTGCAAAGAAAAGGCTAGACACATTGCGAAATGCAAAACAGTCAACTTTTCACTCCAAACCACAAACCGTATGAACTAATTTTCGAACTTGAGAAAGTGTTTTAGCTTATGTGGGATCCCAAGCCTGATGCGCTAGGTGAGGCCTTGTGTGTGTATGATTTAAATTTTGTAACTGTAGTGAGTATGACTGCCTCAACTGATAACAGGTTATTACCCGGTCTAAACGTCCTACGTTTACTGGTGTACGTAGCAAAATCGATTACGGCAATTTACTCCAATAACGTGACTTGAGAATTCTTATGTTTTGGTTCCTTATTTTATTCAACCACTTTTGCAAAGGTCTCCGGATGTAAAGTGAGGGGGTCTTGGGCACTGACTATGCCTACTCTATCTACATTAATGTCAAGACCATTTTATCAAACGCAAATCGTGACTCCTAATAATCGGCATACTCTATTTTAAGGCTGTACCAGGCTGTAAGGCCTCCACCCAATCTCAACATCGCTCGCAGCGGCATAATGGTCAGGTAACGAGCCCCAAAACACGCTTTAGTTTCGCCTAATTTGAACAAAATCTTAAAAAAACCTACTGTGTCTTCGGTGTATTTAACCATGTGTCCCATCACGCTGAATTCCATGTTACATGAATTACGATAAAAGTTGGTCAATAATCCATGGCTTCTTTTCACCAGGCTAATATCAATTTTTTGTTTGCATTTTAGAGATCATAACCTTAAAACCCTTTGTAGCAGTCCCTTAGTCGTTTCTACGATCGCAATCAACAATAGCAGCAGACAATACGTCGATTAGGATAACTACGTTAATCGAGATGTCGGTTTGACGGATAAAAAAACTGTCAGATGGCCCGCATAAATCCCCCCACGTCGACATTGTAGACTTTGAAAATGATCTTTACCTCTTAGCGTCGGGGTGGTCATTTTTTGTAAATACACACGAGACATCCATCGTGTCAGTTATTACAGTTTGTACTTGAGGATAAGTTGTTTACTCCAACGGGAGGTCGCGCTCGGTGTGTCGTCGCCCTCGACTTCCTTAAACGAAGCAGCTTTTCTGAGCAAAAATGACCAAACTTTAAGGTTATTTATGGGTCAGAAGCGGATGTTTACTCCAACCAATCTGTCTACTCTCTCCACCCTGATTTTGGCATAAAATGCAGGATGAGTCAGAGGTGGATGGGCAATCAAAATGTATTAATCCAAGCAATAATGCACATTGATATTTCAGTTAAATCTAATACCCGTGAAGCAAAAGTCATGGCATATTCTGAGCCAATGCTCAAAATGCCAACTGCGTTCTTTGCTGCCTGTGGAAGTTCAATGAAGGGCATAGCAGCACGCAAGTCGGATCAACCTTCGATTGATCTTAGTACACGACTCCACGATTTTTGTAGCACGTTGCTCGGTAGTCAGTGTAGACTGAATTAATCAACACACGAAGTGACATCTTCCCTGCAGAGTTGTTTTATGCGTTAAAATAATTCTTAACGGCGACTCTGATGAGTGGAGCAGGCATGAGGGACATAATCTCTACTGGGCATTGTGCAGCACTTCTACAACTGATCTTTACAAGATGCTAACGTTTTTGAGCATTTTTTGGGGACTACAAGGGCAAGCAACTTTAAAACTCTAATTACTTTCAAAGTTAAAAGCAGACCCTGATGCCCCAGCTCTTAAATGAACTTTGCACGAGTCGGTTCATTCAAAACAACCTGTTTGAATGGGTTAATCTATTCATGAACTTGGTTCTGTGTCCTTGTCCTATTATCTGCTTGTTGAAACACTATTACAATGAATGCTCGTTCGTCAGTCGCCAGTCTTTTGGCGCGGTTTCCTATCCTACACAGAATCACATTACAGGAAATTACTAACGAGCAAGTCAATCGAGGTGACATCATTTTGATGCACTTACATTACTTGCTTTGGCAAACAGTAATCTCCCACCAAGAACTCGGTCGTTCGACTATCTAATCTTGGGGTTTTTATGCGACTTTCTGCCAAATAAATCTCTTTTCTGATGCTGCTACATTTTAAAACGTGAGGACGACTTTTGAACACTTCCAACTTATGCAGTCATCCCACCGTTTCTCTCCGCTGAAAAATACTGCGGCGTATGTATGGGGGCGTATTTGAATTATTAACCCCCTTTAATTTATCGGACTGTTCTAAGCATTACTCGTTTAATTATTAAGCAACCACAGTGATTAACTCAACAATTTTCAATGACTCACAGATTTATCTTCCAATATAGAGTAATTTACACCTGAATTTAATTGCTGGCTAGCAGAGTCACTATCCCGAGCGAATTTCAATTTTTTCCGGACATACTGAGGCCAAAAATAATCAAGCAACCGAAAATTCTATGGCCTAGCTCACTCGAGTTTCAGCGCTCTGTCCGTTTTAGATCCCATGGTAGTTCGTGTCTCATTTACGGAACAATGAGCCCTAAACCATTCCCCTGTGTTTGGATTATATCTCAGGAAACAGCATCTTGATGTAACATTCAACAAACCTCACATGAGCTCTCGCATGTTTTCTTGTTTTTTTTTGAGTCTATAATTTATAATATTCCATCTTGACGAGACCAACGAATGCTCGCAAATTGAAAGTGTGCTGTTTTTAATAGACAGAATGTGTAGAAGTCAATGTTTCACCTCAGTAAATTATGAACACTAATTCAATAGTTGGACTTGAAATATTGAACAACACTAGGTTTTGTTGTCGACGAAAGGCGCAACCTGATAAGTGCATCGGAAGCACTGATAGTTCTAGTCCAAGCAGGTGTCTACTTGGTGATCAGTGGAACCGTAGACCTGTTTAAACGTGATCACAAAACTTCCCTCTTGGCCTACAAAGAAGCACTTTTTACAGGGGTCTGCTCCAGACTGTGTGTGACTGAGAAAACCACTCTTTCCACGGGTTCACGAATTTCGAGAGACTTCTGGAAAAAGTACATTTTTTCTAAAGGTATAGGCAGTTATAAGTGTAAGCCAAATTACTCGCCTTTGTGAAGCGAGACCTTATAAATCGACTGACTTTATAATGGAACAAGTTAAAAGGAGAACTGCATCGTTTTGGCATATGGTAACCTGACTCGTGTAAATTTCGATGCGGCCTTATTGAATGAAAGGCTTTAGCTGAGTTATGCAGACGGTGATCTTGAGGGCTTCGCCACCGATTTTGAATGGCCAAAAGCGAAAAAAACACGCACACAAAAGTCCACAAAGTGATTTTAATTGTTTTTCCTGTAAACACTTTATTTTCATCTGATTTATGTGTTTGTAGAGCAATTGGGTAAAGTAAACAGCATCGTAATGACTTTGCGACTGAGCTGCCACGAGGATCATTAACGGCTTGTCAAGCCACATCGTGGCCGCGCGCCAAACAGTTCGTGGACAACTCGTTAACCCTGCTCAAATATTAGTTGCTTCTCTTGAATTACTGGCAGAAACTTAACAACTGCAGTCGCTGTGAGCTCACAATGTGCATTTTCCAATGATGTTTTTTGCGGCAAAACTCGTGAAAAGTTACCTCTGTTAAATAGGCCCTTGTTTACTGAGGCATACGAAGTTCTGACCCAGCGGGTGTTCAATGCAAAGATTTTACCGAAAGTGACACCATTTTTCACAACATGATTTGGTGTTTTTGTACACTAAAGAATCACGTGCCTATTACTGACATACGCTTTCGAAATACCAGCAAACTTCAACAGCCATCCCCAATTAATTTCAAAATGCTGTGAAAGAAACTTACATTCAACTTATATACTCCACATATTTGTTTATGCCTAAGCTTTCACCCAAGTGCTAAATTGGATCAGGGGATGGACGAGTGACTCTCAAATCTCCTTTTTTTCCTATTAATTATCCAGCGTATGTTTACCTTCACCGCGGCCAATTCCCTCCAAGGGTGTGCCCTTCCACATTTATCTAGGTCACAGCTGTGCTTTAGGTAAGGCTGAATAGCACACAAAAATCCACTTGCGATCAGAGCAAAGTGGAAATGTTTATCCACGATTTCCATGCGCAAACTCAATTTACTCCATTGGAATACACAACAAGTCAGGCCGTTCTTGGTCAAAAAGCACCCAGTTATTCTTGTTAACTTGCATCAAAGATTTTGCCTACCAACTGTTCGGCAGTTGCATATCCCCTGTGGTTCGTTGGTGTCTTGGTTCAAACACGGGAAGGCTATGATTAAATCATCCTTCATCTAACACTTTATAGAGTAAGCAAACTTAAAAGTAATCTAAGGTTGCTACATTCTGGCGCACGTAGCATTTTGTACCGAAGTTCCCAAGTGACCGTGATTGTTTTACTTCTCACAGCCAGCAAACATCCTACTGGACGAGTACGGTCACGTGCGGATAAGTGACCTTGGGCTAGCGTGCGATTTCTCCCAAAAACGGCCCCACGCCAGCGTTGGGACTCACGGTTACATGGCACCCGAAGTGCTTCAACGTGGGCGGTCCTACGACTCGTCGGCGGATTGGTTCTCCCTCGGGTGCATGCTCTACAAGCTCTTGCGCGGACACAGCCCCTTTAGACACCACAAAGTGCGAGACAAACACGAGATCGATCGGATGACAATGACGATGGTGAGACGTTTGCTTCCAACTCGCTATTGGTTGTAACACGGACCTTAGTGTAGGGTTAACATGTAAGTCTAAGGACTCCATTGGTTGCACTCTGGCCAATTGCTACCGGAGTCACTTTTGAATTTGTTACAGTAAAATATCCAGCAATATCGGCGGAGCCATGCGTATTTTGCTGTGGTGGATAAAGTTTACAAACTTAAGAGGGTGTCCTGTTGTCCGACACCACATGCAGCACCGACCGTTTCTCCGCAGTTCCACACAGATGAATCAGCACGTCATTACTGATTCGCATTAAACACAGAACCATATGTTAATGACCTCACTTGGCTTGTTTGGCGTTTGACGTTTAGCCAATGGCAGTATTTTTTCAAGCACTATTACCTAAGAGTGATCAAAGCCATTTATTAATTTAGGATATTGAACTTCCTGAGGACCTCTCCGCAGAAATGTACAGCCTCCTTTCCAGTCTGCTGGCTCGGGAAGTCGATCGTCGATTGGGTTGCATGGGCCGTGGGTATGTCCGCATTTCTGCGAAATTTTGCTAGCCCAATAACTGGGTACCGTTTAAAGTCGTTAGCGCGGGTGGCGTTGTGTCAATCGTGTCTCATTTTCATGTCCGCCGTTATGTGCAAGTAACTAGCAATTTCCAAAATTCTTGAAACATTTTACCTTGGAAAATTGTTTCGCACGCCAAATGTAAAATAAGGCACTTATGTAGTTATAAATCCAAGTCATGTGGACTGAAGACAGATATCTGTTTAGGATTCGTAAAATATTTTCGTTCTTTAAAATTACGACGGAATAACGTTACCTTACCTGAACTTGCCTAAGTGTTCTGTAACCAGATTCCAAAAATATTAACACTCTTTGGAGTTTGTAGTACAAACTGGCTTGCACGAAAAATCACCACTCTTACTGTGGGATTCCTTGGGTGTCTAACGTCAGCAGAAGAGGCCAAATCGAAGGGCCTGTATGGCTTCTTTATTCCTGATATTTCCCAACACACCGTACAATGCACGATTTTTTTCCAATGACCTGGGAATTATTCAATAAGGGTTTGCGTAGCACCAACATAGCACAGTGCGTTATTGACATTTGGCTCAGTAACGTAAGTCTCCTGGCTTACGTAGACACGCATTACCTGAATTGCAGCCTAAATGCCACCAAAGGAATTTGGCTCGTGCCTTCTGGTACTTTTTCTTGCAGTCAAATTTGATAAATGCGAAATCGTCGATTAAAGTCCATGGCCATTACAGCGGCCTAGTAAGTTGAACTTGTTCGCTTTTCCTCGTGACTTTGGTTTTGACGTGACTTTCGTCGAAGTTCACGTGGTATCATGCAGTTTAGCGAATGCCCACATCCTCACCAGTCACCGCGCACCTGTAGGACCGAAACAGGTCGTCCGCCTATGTCTGTTCCCACCACCGCCTTGTTAGAATTTCAGACTTAGTTCCGGTTTGAGTTGGCAGGAGTTAGTCTAAGGTCGCAGTTCTCCGTTTAACCGCGCGCAAGTGCCATCCATCATGTAGGTCGCATGCCGCCGAATGCCCTGCAGTGGATCGTCAGTTGTTTCTGTAAAGGCTGAAATTTGGGGTTGTGAGAACTAGTAAAAATTCTGTGGTAGCACTTGGGGGTAAGTTAATAAATTTGGTTGAGTGTGTGCCAGGAGGAATTTTTGGTAGAGTTGCTCGAATTCTCTTCCTAAAACACTTCAAATAATCGACGCAGGCTGAAGAGGAAAGAGCGACCATTTTTATAAGCTTCTCCAGCTGTGTGTTAGAGCTTTGGAGTGAGGTAATTGTGTTCATGTGTTCCAGAAGGGAATTAGTCCATTTTTGGCGTAGAACGGATCAATTAGCCTTGATCTCCCCAAAAAAGAGGTGTATAAGCCAAAGGAGTTGAGAAGGAGACCTGTCAACTGTTCCGATCCCGGAAAGTAGGTGTCAACGACGGGCCTCGTTCAAGCTGACCATGCGTGTGAGAACAACATCTTTCAAATTTTCAGAAGGCATTGTTCCAAGCAATTGGATAAATTCTGTAGCAACATCTCTCAGTAGCAATGCAACAACATGTAAATATTTAGAGAACTGGGAGGCAATCATCTGATTACGAAAATTGGCCTCAGATCGCATTAACCAAACTCGGGCTTCGGGACTGTACGGGAGAAAGTTGACTGAAATGCTCTTTTCCGAACAGAGGTTTACAGCAATAAGATTACTCACTGTTAACAAAGCTGAGGGTTGTGAAATGTTCGATACAAATTACCAATTGGCGAAGTCGAAATTCAGTGATTGCGTTTTTCGGGGTCACCAAATGTGACGGCACCGTTAGCACTATCTCACAACCCTTCTAGTTGACAGTCCGTAACAGCCAGAGAAGAAAGGCAAGACCGCTGATAGCGAATAGTAAGCTTTATTTACATTTGATCACCCAAGTCTTTTATAGCACAGCGCGTGAGTCCATCTCGAACGTCAACTGTAATCGATAATCGATGACATACGATCAAGTCGTGAGCAAGCTTCACTTACGATCGTTTGATGGAAGATCCCTTTAAACCACTGATCACTCTTGATGTGCTATAATTTTTGCCTCATTCAGAGCATTAAGCTCTCCTCGAAAGAATACGTTTTTGTGTTTCATAAAAGTTAATGCTTTAGGGGGTGAAGGATTCTTTGCGATTTGGGAGTAGCCTTCTATCACGAAAGGGGATAATATCGAAGCGGCGATTGATAATTATGCTCATAGCATAAGCAAGCTTTCAACCATGGTCTAAAGGGCGTCACATCAAGTCAATGGCAAATTTTTATTGGGTGGCATTTTGTTTGCTTTTCGCCTCACAGACACAAGGAAAAAAGTATTCCATTCTAACCAACCAGTCACTGTTAGAAAAAAAATGAATTCCATCTAGTAACATCAGTGAAGAGGTTGTAGTAGCTTGTTGAGGGTCCCGGCATGTTGACTTAAACCACACCGGGGCCACTGCATTGAATCTTGACCGGTTACGCCACTCCGACACCCGCGAAGATGAAGAAGATGGGAGAGACCAAGGCAAAACAGTTGACTAGATAGCTCAACGGAGTTGTGTATTTGTGTGTGCCGTAGTAGTGCACGCCTGATAAAATTCAGGTAAGCCAGTTAATGTACAAGTGCCTAAATGGTCAGATAGATAAAGGGGGTAGTGGTGGTACGTGCACAGGGATGAATGAGCAGACGGTCCCGCATGGCTGACGGTCGCACCATGAAAACAGAGCCGACCGGGATACTGGACGTCAATCAACACGATTCACGGCGAGCTCAACAGGATGTCTCTGGAAGAATGATAGGTTCTGCGATTCGATGCCCCGACGTAGGGATTTTATTCCTTTGAATTCCGCTCACAGTTAGCTAAGCTGAAAGAGGTAGTCAACATGACGCAACTAAGGCTGTCCAATTGAAATGAGCATGTTTTGCAGCATCACGAAGCTAGCCACACTTTACAATGGCAACTGGGAGCAATTGTTTGAAACCTGGCAAGGGTATTTCGGTACACTGCCCACCGTTGCGGAAGTGATTGTTCGCACGACTCGAAAAGTGGCAAAATCTAAGCCACCCACGTGGCAGGACTGGTGTTGCTTTTCGCTATGCCTGAGGAGTGACGAAAACAGCCAATCACTTGAAAAAGCCGAGGACCAAATACGGACATAGTGAGTCACAGTCGCGTAGTGTGCATAAAATCAGCATTCTGTGGCTAACACACCTTTCGTATTCCATTCATGATTACTTTAAGGCGTTTGTAATTTTTTTACTAAGTTACCACGTACCAACTTCATATCTTGTAGAGAGGTGGTAAGGGAGGGGTTTCTAGCAAAAATGATACAACGACATTGGATTGCAGGTAATTATAGGGTTACTGTCATATAGCCTTGAGGGTGCGCAACAGCAGAACGACTGTTCTAGCGTCTTCACGCAATTTTCAATTTCCCCGTCTCTGCCAGCGTCATCAATTTGGCTCAGCCTCTGTGCTGCATCAAACAGCCGGCGGCTTTGCATGACGACCTACCATTAAGTACCGACGCCCTTCTTAGGCTAGTGTAATTTTTGTAAAGCTTTACTTGGAATACGTCGTTTAACTTACAAAAAAACGTACGTGTGGGTTATTCAACACAACAAATGAGGATGTTAATGGCTACCAGATTCGCATTTGTAACTGGTGTTTATTCAGGTTCTTTTGACTGGTTTACGGGATCGCTGATTGGGAAGTTAATCGTGACTCGTGAAGCAAGAGAAATCAAGTAAAATACATCACAACTCTTTCCCATGAAGACTGGGCATAGTTAGTTACCACGCTTACGGCGGCTAGCTCGGAGAGATGTTGAATGCCGTCAGTCAATTTGCCACTGGGAAACACGTTAATCAGTTCGTTGGATTTTATTTCCCGCTGTTCTTTTTGCCACAAACTGAAAGTTCTCAAGCAGAGGAAGCCATTCGCTCGGCTCGTCGTCCACGTGTCCCGTGCACGCGGACACGCATGCACGGCCTGCCGCCACCGCCGCAGCTGTCGATATTTGCCCACGGGCAAGCGCGTGTGCGGAGGTCAGCCAATCAGGGAAGGGCACGTTCGGCGCGTTCTGTCGCGTCACACGGACACTCACATAGCGTGGCCGACCAGCACAATAGCCTCGTTTTAAAAAAAGATACCTTTTTTTAATGCTCCATCGCAGAGCTAATTCGCGTGTATAAAGTTGCTCGGCATCAATCTTCCCACTAGTCAGTTTAATTCGGACCCGTATCTTTAGTCTCCCATAGGCGTATTGCTGCAAAATAACCGCTTTGCCGTATTCACCGTCCTAGTAAACTGGTCAACCAAAGCATCAACACCAAATCCCCGGACTTGAGAACGGTAGTCAAGCCCTGGTTCAAGCATTCACGTTTTCGTCACCTGTATCAAGGAATGCGTGAAGAGATGTTGAGGGGATTGGTGCCTACAAGTGCATCATACCACCGGTTTGATGGCAACGCCATGACGACGAATTTACACTAACGACCCCTAGGCGGAACAATTTTAACCAGCATTGTATGGTGTCCGTTGATCGTCTAAATGAACTAGCGCTATTTTAATCCTGCACACGTTGACCGTGATTTAGTCGGTTTACTTAAAAACACTACTTTTAAATAGCCTGCTGTGGGCCCCAGCATGTGGTCCTGAACCACGCCGGGGCCACTGAGTTAAATCTGGCCCGATTACGCTTCCCTACCACCTGCGATGAGGAAGAAGACCGGAGAGGGCGTGGACGCAACCGTTTACTTCCAAGCTCAACCAAGTTGGTGTCATTGTGTCGTGTGTGGTGTTTGCGCGTGTGTATTTATGCCTCAGATGTGTGAGTCATACATGCGCTAACATCGAGACCTAGGTGTGAGGATAATCCAGGATAAATATTCGTCCGAATGAGGGGAAGTTGCGGATCCGCGAGGCTGGCGACAAGCTGCGAAAAGTGGGATCCTGTGTCGGAGGCTGGAGTGATCGGATCAACGAGTGTGAATCAACGCAATTCACAACAAGTCTTTTTAGTAATCGATCAGCTAGGAATTCTTTCTTTGCTGGACTGGGATTTTTATTTCATACGTGTCGTTCACATGGGGTTATGGGCCTACACAACCCACCATGAAGTGTACAGAACCCTGTTGCGTGGATATTTTGACCCCTTGTCTCTGAACAGGACTGGTTTAAAGGTGTCCTAAATCGATAGATTTGAATGCGGTTAATGTGGATTTATGACATCTGCAATGAGGACATTCTGTTCTCAGTATCGACCTGAATGTTGGGTGCAAACTGCGTTTAGACGCAAAAGCAATCAAAATGCCAACTTCCAGGTGATAGTTTCAATGCATGAAGGTGATTTGCTAGCGTCAATATCACTGCTGAAAGGGATGTTTGTGAAGCCTTTACCGCATCTAATCAGCTTCTCAAATGTTTAATAATAGTTTTCTACTAGTCACGGGACAGGGAAGCTACTGGTTCACGTTCCGTAATTGATTGATTGTAGGAGATTTCACTAACAACACCACTGTAAACCAAAGCTTTATTGAGACATTCCGGGCAGCGATGGGTCGTGAATCAACAAATCCACTATCGACTACTCATATCAACCAAAACTAGTGGAAACGCTTAAAGGTTGGTGTTGGTACCTGTTGGTTGAAACGATTAAACTGCAAACACCTTGTGAGACTTTATGTACCAGATAATCACTTTGTAATTCAGGATATATTGAATGCAAGAAATATATAAATAGTCGCGTAGTGAGAAGAGGATAGAGTCAGTGTGAGATCATCTGGTTTTTCACTTAGCATGTGGTGTTTGGCTCAAGATGGAAAACTCTCATCGACTTTAACGAGGCTCCGCGTACCATGATTGGTTATAGGTCCGTGCCAGAAGGCAGTAGTCACCCTTACACACGTTTTCCGAATTTTTTGTCCATAGCCCGCTCCTCTCCCAAGATTTCATATCTTTTGGTGTAAATGGTTTCCTGAAAACTATATTATTTTGCTGCTGACTATCCCGAGCTTAAAATGTCAAAACTCGGTTTCTACTGATTTTATGAAAATCGTAGGAAGCTTAATCGTTGTTTTTTAATTCTAACAAGACAAACCTAGGGCTGTGCCTAAGCGTGAGTGATCTGTTATTGTCAAACATACCTCGGATTTAAAAAAAAACAATTTTCTACTTCAAATCACTAAATAAGACTACCGGCGTTTTCATGTTAGTTGTTGGAAGTATTGCAATGTGAAGCGTTGGCTTAAAATCATTTTCAGGGGCTAAAGTTTTTCGAATTAAAAGCATTATTATCGTAAAGAAGTGATTCGGTAATATTTTCGAAAATCTCTAGAGATATTTTTTGTGATTGCTGAAGTGTCAGAATTTTTGTTCTTAAAGATTCGTACAGATTCATGTGAAATTTTAGGTAGGCTAGGATAAGAAGCTCATGATTGATCTTAGATGTGTGGTCTAGACATGCTCTTAGGATGCATATGAAGTATTTATACAAAGCGAAAGTATTAGCGAAACTCTAAAATGCAACCTGAAAAGTCTATACTTCACGAAATTTTTTAAATAAGCAAACATGATATATAGGATTAGTAGACATTCCAATTCGTTTTGAACAAATCGAGACTAAACTGAACCAGTTTGTGCATTTAAACTAAGCGTGGGTCTCGAATTCGTGTCCTTTTTCAAAATGCCCGGCTAGAAAAAGTACAAAATACTCCCAATGTAGGTCAAATTTGTTTATTTCGAGAAATTAGCATAACTTCTAGAACTAACACAGATGTGTTCTACCAGGTTTATCTGTGCTGTGCCCATTCAAAAGTGCCTCTATTTCCACTAGTTGGGCACCTGTAGCCGAACAGCACACCGACACCGGTCAAGTCGAAAACATCGAAGCACCTTGGACCACGCTCCGTGTCATAAAAGTGCCCATGTCACCTGGATTAGCCCTGTGCTGGACACTCCTCACCCAATAGACTCCGTCATGGTGACGCTCATTAAGTCCTCTAAATCCACGAAAAAATCGAGTAGATTTGAAAAGTTTTCTGTTTTGTTTAACTCAGCTCGCAGACCTATTGAAACTTGCTATTTTTCCTGGCTATCGTGGATGTAAAATGGATAGTTTTAGGTGATGTTGCCTTTTGGAAATTTGGCAGTGTCAAACTAAGGCCCAGTTCAATAGAACTTGACACGCTGACTTAGATGTAAACAAAACTTCAAGTAATATGTTTGACTGATTGGTAAGGGAGCGAAACACAGCGAGGTCTTGGCGTCTTGGTATGGGTTGTGGATCCACTTGGCGACCCCGTCACACTACACAGATGTCCGGGGAAGATAATGAAGACGGGAGACGGCTGCGATAAATCTACTTATCGATTAAGTCAACTCATGATTGTGAATGCCTAGAAGTCACAAACGTCCATGGAGGACGTGTATTCATACGTGTTCGCGTAACCAATGGGACTCCGAGAATGATGGGCTGAACAGACGAGCGGAGTGGTGGCAGGGGTTAACTGCTGAGGCGTCTGTGAATGTGGTGTTTGAAAGTTTTGTCTCGGGAAATATACTAAGGGCTTGACTCTCGGATTCCCAAAGTGACGTTAGCCGCCGTTCCGATGAGATTTAAGGCAAACAAAAGTTGACATGGCGCCACGTACTCCCTTTGCGCCCAATCAACAATTGCAAAAGGCCAGGGCATCGGTTAAACTCAACCAGTTCTTTTTTTAAGGCAAGAAGTTGGCAATAATAATCCTTTGCCTCTCTACCAAGGGATGGCATATTAGATAATTACGGCTGATAAGTTCCGCCTTGGTAAAAATTAATCTAGATTTGCCCGAAGTGGCATTTAGAAATATTTGATTAGCCTTTGTGAGAATTAATGGCGGCTGGAAGGTACCAAAGTGTGATCAGCGATTTCTAGTTAACTAGGCTGCTTCTGCTGTCCTAGGTCCTTAGAAGTACGGGAACACGAGTTCTTCAAGGGCATCGACTGGCAGCTGGTGTACCTTCGCAAGTACCCTCCTCCACTCGTGCCGCCAAGAGGCGAGGTCAACGCCGCCGACGCCTTCGACATTGGCTCCTTCGACGAAGAGGACACAAAGTACATCAAAGTACGTCTTTTTGCTCCTTGGATCCGTGACATCTGAGCACCACGTCTGTCTCTGTCCATCGGCTTGACATTGGCCGAAAGCTGAAGCGCAATAAAGATTATCGCTTTTGGCGTACCCTGCAGAGGAAAATCAGTAATGGCATAGAATCAGTAGCCTCCCGTGCAAACTGTCGCACAGCGCCGTCAAAAGGCTGTGTTATTGTGAGTGCTTAAAAAACGACAGACGCACAGTGTGGTCACCGAAGCAGCTACTAAAAATTTTTGCAAACGAAGCTCTCACTGACTCCTCTTATCATCGAGTATTTCCAAGGGGAGCCATTTCATTTCGCGAATTTCACTTTTCGGTCTATCTTACAGGCATTCACTGAAAAAACCTAGGTTCTTTGAATCCTTTTTTCTGGCTCTTGCTTTGTTACTTGACCTTAGAGTCCAAATGTGCTGCGTCTAAATTGTTTCACACTTTTCCAAATTCTTACAACTGAATTAAAGATAGTCTCGGATACTTCCACCCAATGCTTATGCTTTTGGCTTATGCGTTTCGAAGTTGGCACCATTTTTTCTTCGCCGATTGAACGGGCACGGCAATTGAGGCAGAAAAATTAAAATGTCATGAGAAATTGTCTAAAAGCTTTTAAGATAATCCTCGAAGGACACGTCTTAGGGCTTAAGTGTGGGCAGAACACACTGCCTGGTGTTCTCTCCTTTGATATAGTTCTGCTAAGTCTGTCGCAGTCCATGGCTCTTTCAAAGGCAAGTTTTTTCATGAATACCACACTGTATGTGGGATTTGAAAAAAGGATTTTTTTGGAAATAGGGTACCGTCATCTAGCAGCTTCACAGGGTAAAGGGCTGGGTACATTTTATTTCCCAATTTTGTGGTAAAACGTTTACTAAAGTTGATAAGGCAGCAATTACAAATGATTGACTTCTATGGAAGGTTCTAAACTCCATTTTTACCACTAACACCCCTAATTACGGATCGAACGAAAGCGTAGAACTTGAAAGAAAGGGAATAGCTAGTTGGGCTATGAAGTTATCTTTCTTGTTGGTGTCTGATAGGTGAACACGTGCTCGATTTTTTGAAGTGAATCTACGCCATTGATTGATCCCAGGGGTCGCCGATAACTAAAAAGCCGTTGGTAAAGAAGATTTTGATTATAAATTTCCTATATAATTAACACCTAAGGAGTGGCGTTGTTATATCTTGCGTCAGAAATTGTGGCTAGCATTTGGAGTGTTTCAGAGAATTGAAAGCTAATTCTGTATCATTACCCCCTCAACTCCATCGGCCTTTTAAACGGATCATTTCATGTGCATCACTGTGTAATCTTTATCCGTCCTTTGGTATTGTATGACAAATGCTAGAGTGGACTCAGGATGTCTCAATTTACGTCTAGATGTTGACCAATCGATTTTCAACAATTCGTCATGCGTTCGGTTGGGGTGTTTAACTTATTTTTTTTCATTTTATTGAGGTTTCAAGGGCAATGAAACACATCTAAATGTTTTGTCAGGCTCGTCTGTATGAAGGAACGAACGCTCCATGGACAGGAATTATAATTATACTCGGTTAAACTATCGGCACCCCTAGAAACTTGTTTAGTGGGACATTTGAGATAAGCAGTATGGTCAAGCTAACCTTGAGCGTGACCAATCACAATCCGTGTTAGTTTGCCATAATTGCCCACTTTAACCTATCATCACATTAATCACAAAATCGAAATCTACTTCAAGTGACTTTTGAAATGAGGTGAGTGGTCAAACCGAGCACTAGCGTGGCCAATCACAATCCGTATTTTTTTTGCTATCATGCATTGACAATCGCATGGTCAGAAATTAATATATAATGTGTAACATTCAAAACAAAACTGATGAACGTCCAGTTTGGGGTGATTAAAAGCAAAAGAAGAAGGCCAATTGAGAAAAGGGGCAGCCTATTTAATATGCATGAAGAAAAATGAATATGTAATTCATTGTTTGCTGGTCCAGTCGTTGTCTAGCGAGGCCATTTGTTTTCTTCTTAGTTGCCATCAATTTTCTTAGTAAAAAGAACTTAAATTAACAGAGACCCATCAACGTTTGACTTTCCTATCACTTCGTTGTCTCAGGTAGATGAGAATGAATGAAGTTAGATTTCGTTAAGCTTGAGGAATTGTGTAGGTTCTGCGAACTATGTTTAGTTTTTATCCACAGAATTGACAAGAATGGTTTAGCGTTTTAACTTCAAATGGCGTTAAACGATTTGATTTCTCGGAGGCACTTTTCATTGCTTTGACTCTGCGTGAACTTGGCCCAACATGCTGTAGATGTCAGGGGCATTTGCCAATTACGAATTTGGATTTGCAGATGTACGCATTGTCTTGAAGAACGAACGCACACAAGAAGATACTGTTGAGACTCCTGCCAACCACACTCACTGAGCATCAAAACGCAAACATCGTCTTAGCCCCATTCTGTGGTTATGTTCGTGCAGCATGAGCTCCGGTAAAGCCCCGTGCTGATTGATCTCGACAGACTTGAAGCGGTTTTTTTTTATGAATTTGTTGATACCAGGCGCAAATGCCACCCACGACATAACGACATCAACGTGGTTGAGCTCTGAAGTAAACGGTTGTGTCCACGTCCTCTCTGGTCTTATTCTTCAAGGATATCAAGGGTGGCGTAACCGAACCAGAGTTAATTCAGTGGCCCCGGCGTGGTTCTAGACCACATGCAAGGGCTCACAGCAGAACTTTTGTGGTTTTATTTTCCTTCCTCCACACCAATTTCTTCGAGTTCTTGAACTGTTAATAATCTTGGATACCGTGGGCTGGGATCTATTTATCATTTCGCCTACTGTTTCCAATTTCATTAAGTTTGCACATAAATTCTTAACTGCCTGATAATCGTTTGCCGTTTAATATCTCCGCGTTGCTATCTTGATAACCTGAAATTAGTTTTGGGAGATGTTGGTGGGACTGTTACCTAAACGCGTAATTGCGACGTGACAAAACCGATGATGGATTTAAATACTCAACAGAAATGACATAAATTAACACTTCTGAAATCAATTATCACTTTGATTAATTTAGCTAGTAGATGTCGTTCAAGAAATTTTTCTGTCACTACTTAGTATTGATAAATTTGTTTCAGCAGAAAAAATAGCCTGAGGAGTTTCTAGATAGCTCAGACAGCTAGCTTGTGGAATTACAACGAAATTCACGAGCTAGCTGAGAATTTGTGGATTAAATACCATGCGGGTAGATTTCTACCCGTTTGACTCGCTTGCTTCTCACATGCGCCGGACCCTGTGAAATTCACTTCACTCACTACAATCGCGCGTTCCTTATGTGTAAGAGGGCGTCTATTTCTATTTCGCGGTGGTTTTGCAAGGTCAACTTTGGCATGACCGCCTGCTTATGCACTTTTCCATCTAAAAGCATGCGGTATTTGGTGGGTCGATGTGACTTGACACCCACAATTATCAGTTTGCAATTATTTATACTCTATTTAATTTAAGTAGCGGTTACTTCCGATTTCTAGCTAACTGAGAGTGACTTGGAGCCGTACCGCAATTTCCCTTTGGTGGTGTCCGAGCGCTGGCAACTAGAAATTGCCGAAACAGTCTTCGACGTAGTCAACCAGGAGACCGATCGAATCGAGAATAAACGACGGACAAAGCAGCAACAGCAGCAACCACAACAACACTCCACCACCACTTCACAGAAAGGCACAAGCTCCTCAGGATCAGAGTGTTCCGCTGGGGAGACGTCTATCAGTGTGGACCCGCATTCTAGCCAATTAAATTCCGATTGCATTGTGGAGGGCGATGTAATGAAACTAGTGGGCCCTTTTTTCCAGACATGGCAGCGCAAATTTCTCCAGCTTTTTCCAAATCGCCTTGAGATGTACAGCAAATCGCGTGATGGTGCGATTGTCAAAAAGGGAGTTGAGGTGTGTTTTCAGGAAAATTTCATTTGCACAAATTCGATGATACCTGACTAGGACCTGATCGATTAACAGCTATTCTGAAAACTTCTAGGTGCCAATTTGAAAGAACAACCTGAGAAATGCAGAAAACTGCAGGTCATTATCGATATTTTTTTCAAATTGACATGACGAAAGTGTTTAAAATACTCTATACTGCGATTTTTATGCACATGCGTTGTGCATTTGGCGGTAATAGAGTGTGGATCAGTGATTGAGTTGGCATATGTCCTATAGTAGTTGCTAATTCCTAGGGTTCGCATGAACTAGTAAGCAGACAAGGCCTGAATAATCAGATGCGTGATAAACGTGAATCAACACGATACTCCAGAGAGTTGAGAAAACAGCACAAGGTGACCAAAACAATGAGGACTTGGTGACAGTTTGGGCGGGCCAGAGAGACAACATGTCTAGACATGCGTGGACACTACAATGTTTGGTCCGGTTCCGACATTTCTAACGCTTAGTCATGCTAGTATAACCAATGCTTCCCTCGTTGTAGTAAGCTTCGATTTTAACAGCAGTATTCCTGACTGACCTTTTCATGTGTCATTTTAGCTCATCTTTATGTTCGACATTCGAGAGATATCACCACATTTTCAACGAATGTATAAGATGGACAACTGTTTTACCATAACCCTGAAGAACGACTCAAAGATCGTAATAACGTCTCCTGTAAGTATGTCTTGTTGTTTAGTTTGACAGCGTATGCGACCTAGGAGTGATGTCAGTGAATTAGATCAGTTGAGTTGCAGTGTCAAAGCGTTAATGTATTATATGTTTTCCCCGAAACTCTTTAATAAAGTCATGCAATCCCTAACCCACAATTCAAAAGCTAGTGGCATTCACGGTCGTCTGTTTCGCTGACGAAATGTTCGCGTTTGTGTCAAGGGTGCTTCGTTAAGTGTGAGGATTAACTTTGTGCAGGAGCCAACGACAGTGTAGGACTGAGTCACCGTCCAACACACCCGTCCAATACACCCGTCCAGACAAGCTTCCGCATAGGTTCTTCACGATTCTAGGGCTTCTAAAGTCGTAATCGGCCGAACCAAGTGCCAGGTGTTAGACGAGACAATGAGTTCAACTATTCTCCGGACTTCTTCTGTTTTTATCGTACCTAATCTCAATTATTTGTGCAGGACAAAATTCTGATAACCCAGTGGAAGGAGGAGATCGAGGAAGCCTTCCAAATCTCCAATGAGCTCATATCGAACCTCAACAAAAAAGCGCACAAAATGTACGGCGCTGACTCCCCCCAGGCACCGTCTTCTCCGGTCGCAATGACGCCCCGAAGCCTCAGCAAAACTGCCTCTGACTCAACACCCTCACACAGTCTCGTGCGCCAGACATCCATACCCTCAGTGGGCCTGCAAAAGTCCCTCACCAAACTCTATTCCCTTACCGGCGGCGGCGGTGGCAGTGGGAGTGGAAATCCTGACAGGTCTCCCGTCAAATCCAACGTGGAGCCAATCCCTGAGACCGACACTGAGACGCAGGTCGTCCGCGATTGTAGAAAAGGCGATGCATAAGCTGTGATACGAGCGAAACCCGGTGAAGTTGGAGCGGAAGAGAGATTGGAACCATATATTTTCATTCTTGGGCCTTAACCTGCATTTCTCGCGCACATTTTACAAGGGCGTGCATGAAATAGTACAGTCAATCGAACCCGAGTGCAATACCCTGTGCCCACGTCTTCTTACCAAGTGTCCGTTCTCCTTTTGCCCTTCCGTGTAAATCGGCTACTGTTCGCAAATCTCAAGGTTCTTTTGTGTCTTTGTCAGGCTACTGTTATCACCGTGTGTGTAGATTGGTGGTTGGAGAGATTGTGTTTTTTTCAGACCTCTTGCCTTTTTGAAATTTAAAGACTTGGAGATACCGTAAACAAATCACAAAAGGAACAAGCTACCTAGGTGGCTGTGGGGTCAGCATTGCCGCTTAACGAGGAACCACACATGCGTAGCTGACAAGACTCAGTGGGGAGAGATTATATTGTGCTATCCAGAGACCTTGTTTACACGTCTAGTGCGCCAACTTATAATTGCATTGGCTAACCTTGACCTTGAAAATTATGCAAAAAAAGTGAAAAAAGGAGTATATTTAATCAGCAATAATAAATACACGAAAAGATTAAAAAATTACAAAATCGGACTTAAGAGTATTAAACAATTGTAAAGTAAATGATGATCGCAAAGTGTTGCAAGAACGTCTTATTTGATGGTACTAATTGAAATCCTATTAGCGGCATGAAGAAGAGAGCCAACTTAACATGATAAATTGCTTAAAATTGGTCATCTATAAACAGACTTCATGATGTTGGCATTAGACAAAGTGTGACTGTCACGGAATGATTACTAATAGGTCAAAAGCTTGCTTACTGGAATTTTATTAAGAATAGAGTAGATATGTAGTCACTGAAAAACTGAAACAGGGTTGTCCTCATTTAAGCGTGTATGGAAGCACGTGGTTCTAATCATATCAAATTATTGACAACTATCAGGTTATTCTACTAGATTAAGCGATGATATGGTCAGCGGATCTTGCTGACAGTTTTGTAAAGTGTAGTAAACCTTATTGTAGGTCTACGCAGCAGTTGTTCAACGTCCCAAGAACAAGTAAATCAAGATTTATCTTGGCGTTTGGGGTGGCAATCAATCCAAAGGAAATCCACAATTTATCAAGAGACTTGGCGCAAATGATGGAAAATTCCCGGATCAAAATATTTTAACTGCAGATAGTAAATTACTGACAGGTAACGAGATTTCTAAAATGCTTGACTGCTGAATACATAAAAGGGGGTTCAAGGCTTAAAGTTTTATGAAACTTAAGTAATTAGTTTGATAATAATAAACCGTTAACAAAACGATTATTCAAATTAAAATGGAATATTATTGATGCCTACACTCCTTAGTCAATATATTTTTTTCTCGTTGGTTTTCAGGCAAGATCGGCTGCTTGGAGCCACATTCAAGAATGTTCCTCTATATATTAAAATTTCTCAGTGGCCAAATCTTCGGTCTGCTTTTAATCAAAGGATGAGACAGACCAGCTAGAAACTCGAAACCTAAAATAAGCAAATTAAAAATTTAAAGTCCTTAGACAACCAAGACCGAATCATTATATAATTAGAACCTTTTTGACGTTTAATTAGCTGTATCACATAAATAATGAATGACAGTCTAGACGAATTTGTAAAAACAAATCAGTTTCAGTAAACATAATGCTTTAATCTAACTTAAATTTTTATTTAGGTAACACTGAGAAACAGTTTCTTGAATAAATTTTGCGAATGTTTAAGCATATAAACCAAAAAATGTTAGTGTTTAAGTTTACGCTGCTCGCGCATAATCTGAAATCTCGTGAAGGTCGCTTTGGGTGTTTACATTTATGAATAGCTCACTTTGTCCTCTTTGTTCTCGATGTGGCATCGTGTCTCCTCTCTGGAGTTTGCCAACGTCTTTTGGTTTGCTTACTGGGATTTGTTCGAATTCTGGATGCAGCTACCCATTCGAGTCCTATAGCGGCTTGATCCACGCGTGTGGTTCATTGAACCCCCTCACCGATGAGCCTCAGACAGCACGCAGCCCTCTTCACTCCGATAATGCTTCATCGAATGATTTTGTTAATATGTTATTGGGAACAACCGAAGAAGGTGTCAGCCAACTCGATGATGTTGCCGATTCTCGTGGCCTTTTACATGAAACCGATTGCTACAAGCGAGCTGATGACATGATACCCTTGCTTTCACCACGAGGAGAATCCCAGCGGTCATGTTCTATCATGCCTCGTTACATAGCAGACTCAATAAAACATGGTAGGCAGTGCTTTTCTAACTGGTATTTATACGGTTTGATATTTTATAATAATACCTCAATCGGGTGTAATAACCCTAATTAGAAAACCATTTTTCAATGTGGCTTTACTAGACATCTTAATTGGCATCGTTAATGCAACTTTTAGCAAGCAGTCTGTCGTGCGGTTTCCCCGGCAGTCCTAATGCTGACAGTGGTATCTCGTCGACCTCAAGAACCTCCCACCTCACCTATCTTGAAACCTTGGCGCTGCGTGCCCAGCGACGCGCAATGTCGACAACAAGTGAGCCTGCTTCCAGACCATTACACCGTGCTTCACTTCTGGAAAGGGTCAGTCAGGAGTACCATTCGTGAATGCACACGACACCTTTTGTACAGTTTCTTCTGTGAATTTTTATAGTATTTGCAATCCGATGCGTTTCAATTTGTATTTTATCAATGTGTGTTCGGCTAGTCTATTGCATTTACGGTTATGTACTTACTCACCACAGGGTTACATCTGCAGCCAGTTTAAAAACGAATTTCGGCTTTTACATTCCACGTTCCCGTTCACTGGAATAATCGTTTAAACAAAATCCGGTGAAATTGGTTTCCGAGAGATAAAAAACGACATGTTTGCCTAATCGAGCGTCTAGTAAATACCGGATCTCTACGTGAATTATTTTACCTCTACGTTAATTCACGACGGCACCTCAAAGAAAATATGTGATGGGTAGGTAGATGAGCCTAATTCGTCTTCCACCAAGTCCAAATGACGTCTCTGGAGTGGAACCCTTAATTGTCTATTTAATATGAGAATGCTTAATAAGACATCCGCGCTTGAACTATTAATTAACACCTACAGGAACATAGGCCAGTATGTGCTGTAGGGCGAAGTACCATCCCAGAAAGGATTGAGACATGTGAGAAAAAAATACTGACAAGGGGATGGTTTGGCACATAGGACCGTTTTACGTCGTCTTCACGTGCGTGTCATTAACTGTTAAGGAAAGCGTTAGATAAACTAGCTTCGTGCATTACTTATATGTGCACCTGGATAATACATTATTATTGAGCTTAAAATATCAACTAAGAGCAGATTTGTGCGCTTCATCATTCCATGTCAAGTGTAGTTTGAGCTTTTCTGATTTGAGATTGGCTCTCACCACTTAGTTTGCAATCTAAAACACGAACGCCTCATTTACCTGGTTTGAGTGGAGGGTATTTTAATTCTTACATTTGATCAGCAACTTCTTTATTATCTATGTGAAAGAATAGAGATAAAATCGGATAAACTTGCAGAAGGATGGTGAGTTTAAAAAACAAAACATTGACTTCAAGTATAAGTACAAATAGCTGAATCGCTTTGTCACATTTTCCCGAGGATGAGTTGCTGTTTTTCGGGTCGTGTGTTCTGTAAATTCCAATGCTACTTAAAAAGCGATGAGTATAGAGGGTATGATGATGTCAAAGGTGAAAAACACGAGGACGTTGGTGAATAATTTCGACACCTTTATTTGACCACAATCGCACCAAGTGGTTGAAATTAAAGAGCGTCATTTTTGCCAAAGATTAAAGAACTCGAATTATGAAAAAAATGCTGAGGTCTTTCACGGAACCCTGCTAGATCAGAATGATCACGGAACACGCAGGGTTTATATTTCAAAAACTAACAATTTTTGCCATCGTGGCAGTGTCCAACGTGACCAGTAAATCGGGTTTACAGGTTAATTTCCATTGGATTCTGAGCCGGTTTTCTAAATCACAACAAATCACACTTTGGTGGCCGACAACTTAAAATGACGTCTACAATCCCTTGAATACTCATCCAGATCACGATTGGCGTTCTTATCTGTGTTATGCCCAGGAAAGCCACATAGACCGGATTTTATAGGAACGGAACTCAGTGGAAAACGAAAACACTCGATAATGTGGACGTCGACCACCGCCAAGTCAACTGGAAGGCGATTCTTGATTGACTCAGGCGCCATCATAGACACTGACTTGCTCAACCGCTTTGGTCTACTTGTCGACTTCGCGTAACAGGGTCTAACCGATCCATAGCCAACCAAACCGTCAGATGCCTCCTGCAAACAACGCCAGCCTTTTCCCGTGTTGCAACCTTATGGATGAAAAACCCAATTAGTTGAACAGTGATCATTCTTCATAACTCCACCAAAATCTGCTGGCATCAGACTTTGACAAACAGGAACGTATTTTAATTGACTCCCATAAATTGCTGCCGTCCTCTTGCTAATCAATATCCAACTGGTTCGAAATGATAAACACGAAAATGAGCAATGAAGTGGTGAAAACGATTCGCGTTCTTATTGTTCCTAGAATAACTGTACATTTGAGAGGAAGAAGCAGTAAAATACAGTTGATATATTTGTTATTTCAAACATCTACTTGGGTCTTCACGGGTTCTGTTATAACAAACTGTCTGTCGGGAAGAATAACTGCACAAATTTGGCGTGTTATTAAATGGGCCAAGTAGGAAGTGGCTACAAGGCATGGTGTCAAAATAACCGCGTTGACGATGGGATGGGTGGTAATGATGAGAAGTGAATATGACATGTTCTTCGTTAGCAGGATATGCGACTGTAGGATAAATACCTGAAAGATAAGAAAGCAGTGACATTTCGTTTGGCGTTAGGAACCGAATTTCACTTGTGTTCACCAAACTAATCGATTGCTTACACCTAAAAGTGTTGTAAGAACACACCTTTTTTGTGGCTTGCAAAAACACAAGTAATCTTTTTGCGATATACCTTGTTGTGAGTCGTGTTTATTCACACCCCTTAATCCAGTCGTTCCACCTCCGATACAGGGTTCCCCTTACCGCAGCATGTCGCCAGCCACGCGGAACCTCAACTCCCCCCTCATTCACACGGACATTTATCATGGATTATCCTCAAACCTAGGTCTCGATGTTAGTGCATGTATGACTCACACATCCGAGGTATAAATACACATGCGCAAACCCCACACACGACACGACATCAACGTGGTTGAGCTCTGAAGTAAACGGTTGTGTCCACGTCCTCTCCGATCTTTTTATCTCGGGTATCAGGGAAACGTAATCGGGCCAGGGTCAATTCCGTGGCCCCGGCGTGGTTCAAGACCACATACTGGGGCCAACAACAACCTCATAGCAATTCCTTAAACCTCTCACATCGAAGCTGCTGTCTTTAGCAGTGTTTAAATCAGAAAGAATATAGTTGTTGCTTTAACTTAGACACTTTTCCAATTTCCTGTGACTATCATTAAACTTCATGGACGACATTTGGCAAAGTCACTTGTCTTGAAAACGATTAGCTGAAACGGCAAGGGGATTGTCCCAGTCTCTCAGAGATCAACTTACCTCCAACGCGATTGTCCCGAACCAGGCGAAAAATCGACTCACGTAATTTTGACTAGTTTGAGTCAAGTTACGAAGTACAAGTAGAGCAGCAATCTAGACATATAGAAAGCAGTGTCCTAGATTAATTGAAGTAAGTGGGGTATAAAGAAGTTAGCAGTAGAATTTCGGACTTCACCAATTGGGCTGTTTCTCAACAACAACAATGAAGCCAACTCACCGGAAGCATGCTTATGCATGGATGGAACTTCAGGTAGGCAGGTATGGTCATTGTCTTGGCACAGAAAACAATATAGCCCTAAGAAGTAAAAAAAAACCAAATAATTTATTAGACTTGTTTGCAAACCGAAGGCATTTTAATCAAAATGCAAGAATCGCTGGCGGTAGTGCACCATAAATGTTTTATGTTTGTTATTTACGTTTTTGCTTCTTACATTTTATCCAAATTTTTCATTTACCTTGCTACGAACATGGTTTTTCTAAAACACTGGATGATCTATCGGGATGTGCTACAATAAATTACGTTTACGATTTATTAGGTATGGGACCTAACATTTTATGAGCATCTAACCCTAGTGTTTTCGTTGGAAAATCACTTGAACGGATGACTAGTGGTGTGTCAATAAATTTGTTGCAAGTGTTAACCATTTGGCATTTATTGTTTATTACGTTTAGCGTAGTAATATGTAATGTTTAGGATACAAAACATATGTTATTGAATATTCCGGATTGTCCTTTGTTATTCTTCTGGATCTAGAAGGCGTCATTGTTTGCAGCAGCACTAAATCAGTTACTTAAGCGCTCTATTATATGAGAATTTATGTCACATTAGGAATAAATCAGGTTGGACCTACCAAGAAAATTCCAACACAAATGGTCGAAATTAACAGAATCTTGGCTTTTGAGAGAGGGTTTTTCTCGCGGTCTTGTGCGTTTTGATGTCGAACAAACAAAAATCCGCACAGTAATCCGAATTGTGTGGAATAACGGTCTATACGCCAACGATAGTCCCAGTGGCGATCATGTCTCCACAGTAACGATCCAAACGGTCTATAAAAATTTCTTATTGTAGCATTGTACTGCCGCCAGTTGTAGTAATTTTTAAACAAAACGAGGCAGATCTGTGCTAATATTTGATAATTGATGATGACACACACGGAAATTAAAAATACAGATGCTCGAAACTCGTAAATGTTATCATCTGTGCATATCTCGGTTTTGTGAGACTGGTTTGTCGATCAACAAAAAATCATCGATGCTACCTAATGTTACTCGAAATATCCACGAAAGTCATTTAAAGTGAAATGACATAGATGTACAGAAGTGTTGTGGATTATGCCTAATCGCTAGCCATTTCCATCTCTACCTTGACGAGTATTGTTGCTTTTCAAACGGAAAACCACACCATGAAAAAACGAGGAACTCTTCAGCGCAGGGCAATTTTTCAGTGATCTGACTAAATCGAGATTTTCGGAAATATGGGCTACGTTGTAAAAATGCTCAGAGTTAAATGCTAATTGCTGTAACACATTTAAATAAAGAAATAAATCACATTTTAAGCAATTTGACTTACATTTAAGTAGACAACCCCGATTACATCAAAAATTCGTGTGAATCATGAAAGAATTTAAACCGACCCAAATCAGCATCCACTACACTGGCATTACTACCTGCATTGACTGCTATGACTTGACTTGCACTTGTACAATGAGATCACAATGCACGCTATAAACTGTTGTGCCACCAATTCCTTGGTGAATTAACGTGGGTTTTAGTTCTTAAACGCACCACACCCCAGGCAACTAAATATAGGCGTTATAACACTCAATTTATCAAACTGAGTTGCATTCAGTTGAGATAATACCTACCTTGAATAAAAGAAGACATCGAACAAGTCAGGACGAAGTTTGAGCACAGCTGAGAATAGCGTAGCACAGCTCAGGACAATGACAAATGCCACAACCTTTGGAGTTTCACCCACGGTCTGCGTTTTTACAACAATGAGTTGAGTAAG